TTTTCACATAAAAAAATGAAACCCTGAGGAATATTAGTCACTTACATGTATTGATCATCTATAAATGGTTGATAACAGCCAAGAAGAACTTTCAGCACTAACGGATATACGTGCGCTAACGAATAAAGTAGAGATAGCGAAACTAGAACCCACGTAAAACTTTCAGCGAAAATATAAAGCTTAAAAATTCGCTATGTAACCGCTTTTAAAGGCACATTTTTAAGCAACTTAAAGTGCTTACATTTACTCATTTAAGCACTTCATAGCTAAATCAACGACGTCAACTCTTAAAATGAAATATTATTACATGAGAATCATGCTAATCGTCAATTCTAATGATATGAAAATGAACAATAATAAATAGATCAGTGATGAAATTAGGACAAGCGGTTTTAGTCGAATTCGAATATATTTTCTAACAATTCTCAAGGAAATCGATAAAAAAATTAACTTATTATGTCTCGGATAATCACTAAAATATTAACTAAATAATTTGTCGTCTTCTATATTTAATATAAGAACTCGTATAATCTTATAAAGCTGCCAGAATAGAAGGACAGAAAAAGTATCTCCTTTTATAAAAATCTTTAATCTCTCCTGCATACCCATCATAACTGTCTCTTAATCATTAAAGGGAAAATTAAAAAAAACTTACCTGTTCATCTTACTAAAATATTGTTCAATTTCGTGTTATTCAGCTGATCACTACGCTATTGACGCATCACATGCGCGAAAAAAAATTCTTTCGTTTCTTTCACGCTACTGAATTTTCCATAGGATGAGTACATTCACTCGTATAATTGAATTCATAATCTTTGAACTTAAGCAACAAATATGCAACAGTTAAAACTATCTGTTGAAAGCATGTTTCCCTTCTGATAATAGATGTCGCCATATCCACTACGCTTATATTTTATCGTTTTGTACATTCAATTCCACACTCGTTAAATAAACGAACAAAGTAAAATTTTATTGTTATATTTAAGATATATATTTTTCGCTATCTTAATCATCAAGAAATTTCAAGGTATATTTCAGTTTATTTTGACTTGGTCAAATTAAATTTAAACATTTACTTCAAAAATTCATAGGCATCTCGATTATGTGCCCACATTATTCATAAACGATACTTAACAACGTGAGTTTAGCAGTTGATTTGAGTAATTTAATAAAATCGTTAAATTACCTCACGCGTGAAAGCAGATGTGAAAATTAACGAAGTCAAAATAGATAATAATTCATTAAAAAAAGTAAAATTGAAGAAAACGCGTTAAATAATCTCACGCATGGAAACAGATGTTAAGTTTAACGAACTTAAATGAATGAGAGTTCGTTAAAAACCTAAATTTTCAAGAAAACGCGTTAAATTACTTCACGCGTGAAAACATATGCCAGTTTTCATGATATTTAACGCGTTAGTAACTGTTAAAAAGTCATTAACGCATGAAAAACCGTGAAAAATCTAACGCATTTTCACGAGTTTGTGGAAGATAACGAAATTTAATGAATTGCTTTTCATTAAACCTCGTTAATTTCTGATTTAACGCAGTTTTTTTCGTTCATTTTGAAAATCAATTCGTTAAATGCCTATTTATTTTTACATGGGAATTATGTTCGTCTCTCGTCAATTGCTGCATTGCATTTCAATTCTTGAAGAAAGGAACACTGAACATATGATAATGTCGTTGTTTAGAATATCAAGTGATATCCATGTATGAGATCGAAAATTTAATTTTGATCCTGGCCAATCTCAAGCATTTTGAACTGGATGCTGTAAACAGTGCAACCGATTTAGCTGATGGTCAACGATTGGAAAAAATCACTGGTCGGCTTGTCACGTTTAATTTCATTTTTCTTTTGACAATAACTGAAGTAGAACAAGTTCTAGGTGGTTTTAGAACCTGGTTTTGGCGCGAAAAACGATGGTTTGTAGTTTACGAAAATGCAGCTCTTTTTACAGTACCACGCTTCGCACAAACACATTGCATTGACAGTTTTCAACGACCTTTCTATTCAACATGTGTTGATGAAAACATTTTTATTAACAAAATAACTATGCTTGAATTATCAAAGTCATTAGTTGATGCTAAGCATTATTTTCCTAATGTTCGAACACTGAATATCAAGTGTGACGTCGTTCAGCTCGAAAATCTCACATTTGTGATCGATATCAATCGATTGGAGCATTTAATACTGTCATTTCCAATTCGATCCTCAATGCTGGATGTTCATAAACTTCTAAATATGCACGGAATTCGAAAATTGTCGATAATGACAGATTCAGTTCAACTTCTAGAACAATTCAAAGGAATGCAATTCAAAAATATCACAACACTTGAAATCAAATCTGAAAATGAATTCAGGAAAGCATTTAATGTTGAACAATTATGCTCCATTTTCCCACTGGTTGAGCGCCTAAACGTTAAGCCCATCAATAAAGAAACTATTATTCGTATGACTGATGGATTTTCACATCTATCCAATGCATCTTTCTATCTTGATCTGGTTACCTGGGGAGAAACAGCTGCTTGGCAGGTGAAACCTGAAAGAGCACTTTATGCAACACGACAATTACTGAATTCTGCTTATACTTGTCGATATAAGAATCGATGTTTGCATGCATGGATCAGTAAACAGGTGAGTCAATTTTTACTAAAAGAGACTTAATGGTTTTATTCCCATCATTACATTTAGTCGCTGCGATTATTTCCGATATGGCATTGGTTACAACAAAGGGGTGACTGGAGGTACCGAATTCAGTCAATTATCATGCCATATGTCTCACTGGACATGAGCATAAAAAGTTATTGTGTTTTTCTGTTCCTCATCAATTTTTCGGTACTAACCATGGATTGCCTCCAATCTATCCCAAGCATTTTCGCCATGACCTTAACAAAAGGTCTAATACTGATCATTAGCTATCATCGTCATAAGTCTATTAAAATAACAGTAGTAATCACTTGTTTTGCAGCGTTATGCGTTTGGGATGTTATCCAGTACTTGAAGAATAATACGTATTATTCGCCAGTATACTATCAAGTGGGTCGTTTCTTTTGCGAAAGCAAGCAAGCACGCACACGTATTTTATATGGTACATCAGATTATGATGATGTAGGTATGCATATACTTATACACTACTTCATAAAAGATACATTCGTCTGCGACTCGCAACACTTGATCTATTTATACGCTCTAGGAATTATCCTTTTTCCTTTAAAAATCATATTCAAAATTATTGGTGATGTGCTGAATTCAACGGTAGGTATTCTACAGGCAGTTTTGTAAACTCTCGTTCTTTGTATTAACATGACTAGACGTTCTATGGAAACAAACGGATTGTAACTTACCTTTTAAATAAACTCTTCATTTGAAATTGATGATACCATTCAAAAGAAATGTTTTGCCTCTTTTCACACGAATAAAATATAATTTTATGAAATGAAAACAGACCGATCTATCTCTTAACGAAAAGACAAATGAATAAAAGTGATAAAAGAAATGCAGAGTTAATTTTGCCGACGCGTTTCATGTTTATTTATTATTTAAAAATTTGAAACACTCTTCAGGGCTCTGCATTACAGATTAAGCACAAGTTTAAAAAAAGAAATAAATTGAACGGGGTACAGGATGAAATTGATACGAAAAAAGGAAAAAATAGAAGAGGAAAAATGGATAAAATAAAATAAAACCATGAGGCATGGAACAAGATTATTATACATAGACGGGAACAACTTGAAAAACTAGTTCATCGGAGCTGCTCTCCGGTTTGAGGTAAATGTATGTCGTATTCGAGATCAAAATAAAGTTCCGGTTCGAGATGAATTAATATCATTTTTAAGATCGAAGTAGAGTTCCGGTGTAATTCACTGGTCTGATTTTTTCAAATGTTCATTGTTGCCTTGACGGTAATATCCTGGTGATGGATAATCGTTGTCGTAATTTTCAATTTGTTCGATGCTTTTACGTATCGTTTGAATGTAAATGCACCGTTCTTGATACGCTCATATTTGTAATTCGTTTTCCTTCTCCTGTCTTTACTCATACCGTATGAGTAGAATTTTGTCTTTACTCATACCGTATTAGTAGAACATCTTCCTCTGTGTGGATAGTTTTAAAATTGAATTTTGTCTCAGAATATTGAATTAACATTCAGCTGATAATTATTATAATTTAAATTCAATAAATTCAACAGATAATTATCATAATTTTTATTCAATAAATTCAACACCAACTTTATTTTGCCAAATATTAAGACTAAATTGAACAAATTTTAAGGTGAATTGGGCAAGTTTCATATAGAAATCAAATTGTAATGAATTATTGAATTTAGATGCCAAATATCAAGACTAAGTTGAACAAATTTTATGTTAAACCGAATTAATTTTTTAGGGAATTGAACAAATTTTATATTAAATCGAATAAATTCCATAGCAAATTGAACAAATGTTATATTAAATTGAGTAAATTTCATATCGAACTGAACAATTTTTATATAAAAACCGAATTGAATAAATTTCTTATTATGGAATATTGAAATGGAATATTGAAATTGGATGCCAAATATTGAGACTAAACAGAGATATCTGATTGATTATCTTATCGAAATAAAAGATAGATATTAATTTTTCGATTTGGTATGTATTAATCGTCTTTGTAGATTATCAACATTTCTTGTGCCAAGTATGGGGGTAACTTCATTTATTGGAGATTTGTCGAAGTATTTCTCCCATAAGGTATGAAATTTAATAGGAAATGTCTTCATACTTGAACAATAGGTAAAGTGGACAAATATTGACTTCTCATAATTTACTAGTTGTTTCTCTTTAATAGGAGAGTTTATAACTATTTGACGGTATCTAATATAATTATTGACGGTTAATGGTTCGTTGACATTGAATTTTAATAACATATTATTGAATTGTTCATCGATAATTTTATTTGGATATTTATTAAGTAATAAAGCCATTCTCAATTTTTCACGTTCATTTAGAAACAATTGGAACGTTGAACAATATCGAATAGCTCGTAGTAGCATAGCAAATGGAATGTTCTTCTTCATGTGTAATGGGTGAATACTGTTAAATGGCAAATAATTAGGTTCATGCGATGGCTTCTGGAAGACTGTCGTATATAATTGACCATCTTGATTTTCTATGTTTAAATCTAGGAAATTGACAGTTGAACCAATATTTGCAGATAGATTAATATTTTCATCAAATTTATTCCATCTATCTACTTGCTTCAGTAAGTGTCGAACAGGCCAGTTGATTGTAATAAATATATCATCAATATATCTGAAGTAAAGTCCACCACTATTTCGAATTTGATTGACTATCTGTCTTTCGAAGAAGTACATATAACAATTGGAAATAGTTAGAGTAAGAGGAGAACCCATAGCTCCTCCTCTTACTTGTTGATAGAATTGACCATTATAAGAGAAGTAATTATTTGTCATAACAAATCGACTTAATCTAATTATTGTTTCAATTTTTAGTTTGCCAACTTGTTTTACTTTTAATTCATTTAACATTTTTCTTAAAGAAAGCACTCCTTCTATTTGTGGTACCATAGTATACAGGTCTGTGACATCAATTGTACAAAATATTGTATTTTGTTTAAAATTGTTTTTTGACCATTCTTGTAATTGTTTTACTAAATCAAAACCAGAAGTGACAGCAGTACTTAATGCCATTTGATCAAATAATGGTCGAAGTAAATCATCAAGAAATTTTGAAATTTTAATTGTCGGATGTTTTAAACCAGATATAATTGGACGTAAAGGAGTACCAAGTTTATGAGCTTTTGGTAAATAATATAGATGAGCTAATTCGACTTCATTTGGTTTAATACTTAATTGTTCATATTGTTTTTGTGTAATCCATTTAGCTAAGGGTGTGGGTGTGGGTGTGTATTAATATATAAAGAATGAAGCTACGACTAGTTTCGATCCTTTCTCAATGGATCATCATCAGGCAGATTCAGCAATGCATAATAACTTAAATTAAAAGGAAAATTTCGAACAAAAATTCCTCCTACATTTAAATTTAAAAATACGAAGCAGAGAATTCTTTAATATCAATAGGGTGAGCTAGATAACCACAATATACTTCTATAGAAAGATCTTTCAGTTATAATGAAGAATTTAGGAAGAAGTAAATGAATATTATAGATGTTATCCTTTGTTGTATAAGATTGACTTCGTTATAGAGCGCCCTCTTTCATGATAAATCGCGTCGTGAATCTGAGTGGCTCTTTTCGGATGACTCAACAATGGAGAAAAAGAAAAAGAAAAAATATCTTATTTGGATAGGTGGTAAATGAAATACTTTTATTCTTCCTTATTAGTCGGTAGAAAGTATGAAAAATTGATTATTATGAAAGAGAATATTATTTTAAATGAAAGAAATTTTTGAGAATAATTTTTATGCAGACGATACAAGTAATAAATATATACGCAGTATTGAAAAGAAGAAAAAAAAAAGAATTTAGAAATGAAGCTTAATTTTTATCAATTATTCGAACGATGGATGGAAATAAATTAGAATTTATTCGTTGTTCTATTAAAAATATTTTATCATAATTCTATAGAGATACTCTTATATATTTGAGATATTATTTGAAAAAAAAATTTCTTTTAACATACCGGTTATTTGTTAGATAAAGGCGCAGTTTTGGATGAAGTTATAATGGGATACGAAGAAAAGTAAAAATATACTTTTCGATTTCGACGAAATTATGTGAATTAACTGGTGAAGATCCCTCTTTTATAGTCTCATCCGGAGAGTGAATTGAGAAAGATAGAAAAAAAAAGAAATTTACTATTTTCGATTGGATGTTTTACGAAATTGGACGTTTATATTGGACGAAAATGATTTTACTAGAGAGAAAAAAAATCTAGTAAATACAAGAGTGATTTAGAGAAATCATTGAAAAAGAACGATAATAATTGAATTGATTACCGTTCACCGAATAATTAAGTCGATAAATAAAAGAAAACCGTTTTAATACTTTTCATAAATGGCAGCGATGTCGTCTTTCTGGTGATGTTCAATATCTCTCTATATGATATTATCCTTTCCATTTCTATTCATCAATATATTGAGCATTAAAAGTATTTTAATATCAAAGCAACAAAAGTTTCAAAATAAATGATTTTTAGAGTGATGCACGATCAGAGAAAGACATTTTATTCTTTTATCAATCATTTCATTTAATTATGTTTCATCTGTGAATAAAAAAAGTTGATTCTCAAATGAAGAAAGAAAAAAAAACATTAAGTAGAAAAAGTTTATAATCATCATGAATAATAAATATCTTTTAAAAATAACTCTGAAATATATCCATAGTAATAAGAGGAGTTTTTTTTTCATATTTGAACGCAAATTGTATTAAAAGATACACAGACAGACACGGAGAAAGAGACAACACCTTTTTTTTCCAAATCAAAAATCATTGCCAGAATAACGTATTTCATTGAATTCGATCACCATTTCAAAATCAATATTTCATTCATAACGATACACCTAGATATTTTTCAATCAACGAAAATCAATTATTGAAGTAAAAACAACATAAGAATTATCTTTCTCTTCTTCAAGCAACTAATGTGAAATTAATGTAAAGTAAATTATACATTATCTTTCTACTTCGAATTATATCCCTTCAAAGTCAGATAGAAATTAAAAAATCATTTAAATAATGAATAGAAATATTCTTTTTTTTTTCGTTTCTCATTTATCATCATCAACATTGAACAAACATGATTCACTTGGATAAGCAGAAGGAAAAGAAAACGAAAATAGCCAACGAAATAAAAGACAAATGGAAATGGAAATCATTTGACTACACTTAACCTATCTTAAAGTGCCATCTATACGTCATTCTGTCGACGAACATTCCAATGGCTTCTTCAGTCGGTTACATTCAACGATAGATAAAGAACGAAAGGTCATCTTCTCCGTCATTTTCGCCACGAACAAACACAATGACGGAAAGGTTACATAAAAAAAATATCTAGCGAAAAATAATTCCCGGTCCACGTCAAGCATTCATACAACACGACCAATTTAATCGAAGAAAAAAAAATCATAAATCACGTGACCATAGGACGATACTGATCTGTACAATAAACACAAAGTAATCGATACGATATCCATCACTTCATGCAAAGCAACGATCACGCGATCAACAACAATAACATTAATTCGCTCAGACGTACTGTAAACACGCACTCACTACAACTTAATTTAACAACGATCATGATAACTATTTGACAGACACGAAATCGAAATCATTCTAACGATTTCCAACGCGACAAACACATTTTATTATAAAGAAAAAAAAAACATATCCGTGTACAATTCATACCAAGCAAAAGTTATAATTTTTAAATTCTCATAGTCAATTCAGAGGGTTACCACATATCGAATTGATATCAAAGGATCCTAACTCAGCATCAAAAACTGATATAATAACATGTGTTTCTATCCTCAACCGGCGTTTCAAAGAGCTTTTGAAAACGTTAAAAATACGTGTAAAATTATATACACACCAAAAAAATATGATTTTCAAATACTCTTGACGAAACGAAAACGGTTAGAGATATTGAAATGATCTCAACGGATCTTCATTCAGCATCGAAAACTGATATAGGAAGATGTATTATAATCCTCAGAAGAGCCTTCTAAGGGGTTTTTGAAAACTTTAAAAATACGTGTAAAATTCATGTACAGCAAAAACAAATCGTTTTCAAACACTCAGCGCATCCAAAGAACGGTACAAGATATCGAAATGATCTCAACGGATCTAGATTCAGCATCGAAAACTGATATAGGAACAATTGTTTCAATACTCAGAAGAGGGTTCCCAAGGGTTTTTCAAAAAACTAAAAAATTCGTAAAATATTCATACACATGAAAAAAAAAACATTTTCAACAACTGAGCGTATCCGAAGAACTGTACAAGATATCAAAATGATCTCAACGGATCTTGATTCAGCATTGAAAATTGTTGTAAAGTAATCGGTTTCCAGCATACGGAGAGGTTCTTGAAGGATTAACGGAAAAGTTTAATTTCACTAAAAACTCTTATTAATGACAATGTCATGATTTTTCTGGGTCTGAAATGAGAACGGTATGATATATCGACGATGTGATGAATAGACACAATAGAATGATATATTTTAATTTAGTTCGATTCTATAAAGTAGAATGATTATCAAGTGGCAATGTATTATCCGTATTATCTTAAGATCAAAAACTAAATTGTGGAATTCGAAAGAGATTCGAGAGAAAATATTTTGAAAATCTTATATCAAAAATGAGGGTGTGAAGAAAAACCACAATAAATTGTTGGTGTTTAGTTTTATCTCGATTCTGTTAGAATAAGAATCATTATCAAGTGGTAATAGGTATTTATTCTGATGGATGGATCAAAAATATAGACCAAATCGAATAAAAATTTCATGAATTGCTAAGATCGAAATCAAAGAAAATTATGAAAATATCATCATATAAGAGGGTGTGTAAAATAACCACGATAAATGGATAAAAACTTTTGAATTTATTTCGAGTCTATAAAATTAGAATTTTGAGGGTGCGTTGGATTTATAATAGATTCGTAGCCTAACACCACGTTTCGTCCTGGCTTAAGGGACTCTTATGTATGTTAATAACTTATAAGTACATACATCCATAACTCTCCAATTTGAAGAAGTTAAAGAGAAATTCATACTAAAATGCAAATAACAGAGTAAATTATTATTATTAGGAATTTTTCGAAAATTATGATTGGAAAAAGTATTTGTTTCGACTAGAAAACGCTGGAAATTCTTTTTTCTTAATATAACAAAACTGCAAGTTTTCCAAAAACAAATATAGGTACAGTAGTATTAGATTGATTTTTGAAAAATATCACGATTAGGCCACATATTTGAGCCGAAAATTTTATTTAGTGAGCGAAAGTTCCTGTCATATTGTATTTTTCTACTTGACAATCTTATTTCTTTGTTGTGCAATAGCCTTTGAAGTTACATGGTACTGTAGAAGGGAGTGATTGTGCATCTATATACGAGTCAAAGGTTTGATTAAATGTCATTGTTGGCAAAGTTTTTGAGTCGATATCAAACACATCACAAAAGTTAGAATGGGACAAATTCAATAGGTCAGATGCTTGAAACCTTGAAGAGATTATATATATTGTCGTACATAACTGATATATATTCATATTATTCAATCTTGAATGCACAGATATTATTTTACATGGCAATAGTTTAGGTATAAAGTTTAGTCTGTCCACTCTGTCAATTGTTAGGCCAACTAAGTCACGAAGTTTATATTAATATTGATATAATACATCGTGGAATAGTTTTCTTCGCTTGAAAGTGGTAGTCATATCCATGACTTCAGCTTCAGATTGTAGTCGTTGATTGTTACACATTGAATAAGCTTTCCTACTATTAGATTCTTTTTCTAAAGAGATAATGTCATGAAAGTTTTTAGTTAGAACCTATGTTTTTACCAGTATCAATAGATTCAATTTGCTCGTTGGCAAGCAGTTCACTTCTCTGTTTGTTTTTCATTTGAGGAGACATATGAAATTTTGATGACAATCCTGTAGGCAGTGTTAAATCTAATGATATTTGAGATACTAAATCCAGAGAAGTCAATGAATTATTGATATTCAAAGACGTTGGAGTTTCAACAACATTCATTTGATTTTCGTATTCTTTTAGTTTATCAATAACATCTTGTGGAAGATCCTCTTCATTGACGACATTTTGTGCCGACAAAACTTGCCACATGTCGATGTCATATCTTGATTTCGGACCAAAGAGTACTTCGTATGGAGTTGTTTTGATAGACTGTGTTGAACTGGTGTTAATCGAATACATGATTTGTGCCAAACCTAAATTTTACAAACTTTACAACAAATCGATTGTTCTTGAGTTATCTGCTTACCTTTAGACCAATTTTTACAGTTATTCAATTGAATCCATTTATATAGAGCTAACTTAAGTATTTGGCTATTGTGTTGAACGAAAGCGTGTGTTTGAGGATCCTGAGACCGACCGTTAATAATAGTGAGGTTGGTCCAACTGGTTTTTAAATCCTATTCAATCAAAAGATGCTATCGAATAGTACAGCCAAAGTAGAAAAGCAGGGAGAGTACCTTAATAACTTTGGCCACAAATTCTTTCCCATTGTCCGATTGCAAAATACGTGGTGCTCCAAATGAATAAAATTGCTGTAGAAGTTTATCGGCAACGGATTTAACTTCTTTGGATTTTAATGAATAAGCACAAGAGAATTTGGTAAAATGATTCATTGTGTGAAGAATCCATTTATATTCTCCATCTTGAACATTTCTCATATCTATAAAATCCATTTGAAGACGAGTCAAATATCCCATAGATACGACTGGTTTCAATGAAATATAAAAATACTAAGTTCATTGATATTTTAACGTTAATCTCAACCTACCAGCTATCGGGTTTAGAAAGCTCTTCTTGTTAAAGCATACACTACATTATGAAATAAAAAGTTTTACACAATAAATTGGAATCCATGAATATCGAGCCTTCACCTGCAAAATACACAGTCCTATGTAATCCTAAATTTTTACATACTGTACCCGCAGCCACGTTTTGTCCCGCCCTTGATGTTGAACTCTTTCATGACACTCTCTAACTTTCATGTATAGATTTTCATATGTGACAACAGGAAGGTTAGATTTGACATCATAAACAAAATTTTCGTCATCAATTCACATTAATTTGAAGTTTTTATGTACCCAAAATTTGAACTGAGAATATCCCCAACCATCTCGAAGAACAAGGATAATATCATTATATAATGATTGTTTTATACAAAACTTCTCTTGAAATTTGAGATTTAACGATTGGATATGAATACCAAGTACTTTGTAATAGTATTCAATGGCCATAGGAATACGACACAACAATATTTGCTTAGAGAATGTATGCGTTCTTATCTAAGTCAACTCTTTTTGATTCGCCATGTTATCTATGGATTCTACTAAATGTAAAACTATTTTACTTTTTCCCATAGGAAAAATTAAAATCTGAATTTTCAAATAGAATGACTTTAATTTTTCTTGAGTTTTAATTCTTCTTGTGGTATATATTGCGAGATATTCATTTGTTATCAATTTAAAAAATGAAAGAAGCTTTTCTAAAATAAACCATAGGATTGTCACAAGGAAAAAGTGCAAGAATTATCAATTCTGACTAATAAGATTACGTATCTTGTTTCAAAGTCAACATAAACAAATGTGTCAGCCGCCTTGGTATATAAGCGGTGAATCGGTTATATTGTACATTCTTTTATTCACTTAAGCGTTGTCTACGATTATCAACAGATACTTGAAGAAGCCGAAGAGCAATCAACTGAGCAATAAGCAAGGTGAGCTATTGCTAATTGATTCATTCTTTTAGTGGTGACTCTGTCAAATGTCTACGTAGCAGAATTCAGAATTTTATAGACTTGTTCCAAAATTTAAATTAATGTATTACCTAATCAGCTCTACTCTCTAAAAACGATAATAATCTGATAGAATTCTGTTAAGAATTCAAGATTAACAACAATTTCTCGAACTTTCGGATCATAGTAAACAGGATTCTTATTATAATGCAAAAACAGTACCACATTCCTGATATTCAATGAGCAACATTCTATTAAAAATGCAAGCAACGACAGTAGAATTCTGGTGTACAGCATCTCCGATATTTCTCCTACGCACACTATAAAGTAGAATCATAATGAGAATCTAAATAGCAACAACAGAAAATTGATATAGAGCATGCGAAACATGTATGTTATATATATACATCGTAGTAGAATTCTGATATACAAGAAACGTCCGTTATAGCAAAGAACGGATATCTAAAAATGTGTGTTTACGAAATCCCGAAATCTGTTGGTTAGTCATTCACTAAGCGTATTATCATAAAATGACTCGAAAATCTCTATTGAAGATAACATGCTTATGTGAAAGCTCAAGACGATTGTTTGTCTTGTCCTCAAAATAATGAATAGTTTCTGATCTCTCCTAGTGGTCACAGAAACTGGAATTTTACATTGATTACACCGAGAAAACTTGTTGAGAATGCTTTTAATTCGAGGACCATTTTGTATTGGATCATGTTTCAGTCCCATTTTTATGATTCTTATCACTGAAAAATATATCTAGCTTCATATTCGTGAAAGATGAGTGCCTTTAAAATATTAATGTATTGGGTTTTAGAATAAAAAATACTCTACAAAAGCGAAATTCATGCTATTAATATCAATATGAGTAATATTGCCGAAGTTCTCAAGCGGATTAGGAGCGTCATTGATGCCAAAGCTTCTGTTCAGATGAGCATGGGACCATTCAAATGTAGTCTTCCTGATAATATACAAGCGGAACAAATATACGAGCAAATCATGGATATTGCAAGTGTTACGGATGGTGTCACAAGACAAAAACATAAATGCCAAATTGTCACTATCCTTAGGCAAATTACTGCTGAGAAAAGTGAATCAATTCAGCACACAGAGTTCACTGACAATAAACTGCATATTTTTATGGCTGATGTGTGTCTCATAAAGGAGGAAAGTGGTCGAGTTAAATTAGAAGGATTCTATGGTATTTTGCAAGCGGACATATCTAAAGAATGGTTTTGGGCAAGGACAAGAGTAACACGAAATATTACAGACATTTTCGGAGATGCTTATTATAAACAAAAAACAATAAAATAATCTTTTCTTGTACGTTATCTGATCTTTTTAGCCAACTATTTCTTCTAGATTACCAAAAAACGATTCGATGCTTTCAATATTTAACAGGCAGAAAAACGAAGTGGTTAGTCAGTCAAATAATGCACCCACTAGTCTTATGAAAAATTACAAGGGAAACGCATCTGTGATGTTTGATCTTAATCGGTCTTCTCAAGAAATTAGCCAAGACTTTCTTGTCATATTGACATCGTCCCCAAATAGTGGAACCGCTGGAATGGAATTCCAGACAGATGACACAACTGAATTGGCCAAGAAGATTGATAGTTTCAAGAAAAGGGTGAAAAATACTTCACCTGAGGAACATTTACAAGAGAGTTTTAGTATAAATATGTCGTCTATCACTCTCCAACGTATTGTCAAATCAAATGAGAGTTCTCTCATGCGCCATTTGTTACAGATAACTGGTCATATTGAATATACTCTTAAACGTAGTTCTGCTTCTTTAGAGAATCAAAAAACGACAGAGGATGACAGTAAAGTACTTTAACTTTGGTTGCTTGATAATAATCTTTTTTTACTTTAAGAGAAATCTAATGATGAAAGAAAGAAAAGGTGGTGGCCTATATCTCCATGGCACCAAAGTTCTTCGGATACGGATAAATCAATGAAAGGTAAGTCAAGAACATTTACGATTGTGAACTTTTTCAGTTCTATTAAGAGTTGTATATTGCATTAAAGTTAACTCTCTTTATTAAATTTTATCACTAATAGAAAATTCTGAAAACATGTACTCAAAGCAATCTTATATTAAAGCCTATCGAATAGACATGTGTCACAAGCGTGCGACGTTGCAAAACTACCTTGAGACGTTTTAATTGACAGCCATTAGCGATAGTATATGTTTGTAGTGATCGTGTTTTTATTTTTGCTGGGACTTTAAATAGTTTATTCTAACGAACTCGATGACCTATAAGGATGCGATGTAATAGATGTATGATAGCATGTAGTGAAGTACCTATTATTTTCATCGCTCTGAAACTTTGCTTATAATCTACTCAATTTGGATAAGATAAAATCTGAGAGCGGTCTATGCACTGCGTGCAAAAAATATGACATGGGTCGTATGAAAAACAACTGCTCCTATATATCATTCAAGGAATGAGAGTGATAATTCGTTGCTTATTTAGATCCGAAAAAGGAAGAAAATTGTGAGATTGTAGCAGGAAATAATGGAGAAGGTAATAAACTCAACCAACTTAATAGGCCCCAAGCACTAGCTGTGGATACACAAGATGGTATTTTATTTATTGTTGATAGCAAGAATCACCGTGTAGTGGCTTGGAAGTTGGGTGATGATAAGGGGCATGTTATAGCTGGTGGTCAGGGACAAGGAGAGCAACTCAATCAATTGAATAATCCAACAGATGTTTTGATTGACGAAGCGACTCGCTATCTTTTTATTTCTGATCGGGACAATAAACGTGTAGTTCGATGTTCTAGTGAACAACCTAGTTCTACTCCCGAGATCATCATTAGTGAAATTGATTGTTACGGAATTGCAATGGATCAAAAAGGAAATCTCTATGTCACTAATGTTGCCAATCATGAAGTAAGAATGTATTCAAAAGACGGATTTTCTTTACGTAGAGTCGTGGCTGGTGGAAACAGTAAGGGTAAAGATCTCGATCAGCTCGATTACCCTACTTACATTACTGTTGACAATAATGACAGTATCTATGTATCCGACAATGGAAACAATCGCATAATGAAATGGCCAAATGGGGCTAGGGAAGGAATAGTTATGGCAACAACTCAAACAAACAGCGATAAAAATACATCATCGTGCGGTCTTCGTGGAATTGCTGTTGATCAAAGGGGTACTCTATACGTAGCGGAAATGTTCAACCATCGGGTGACACAATGGTGCCACGAATCAAACAAAGGTGTCACTATTGTTGAAGGAGGAAAAAAAAGACTCAGGACACATCAATTATTATGCCCTGTTGGTTTGACATTGGATGCTTCTGACTCTTTGTACATCGCAGATAGCAATAATAATTGTGTTTTGCGATTCTCGCTTAAATAAAATGCTGGGCCTTGTGAAATAATTAATAAAGATATTATGAATTGAAAGCAAGGGTGTGGGTGTGAGTGTGACAAGCTACCATGACGCGTTTCGAGCTTGCTTAAGGATCTCATCAGATGGTAAATAATTCTCTATGATTACTTAATTTTACTTAAGAATCACAAGAATCAAAATCAATTCTGTTACATATAGTAAAATTTTGAACAAAATTCTGAACAAAATTCCTATACATAATGATAGATTATATTCACAGTTGTGTGACAAGCTGAGGGTGTGGGGTGTGTTTCTAATTGTTATTATGTTAGATTCAAAGCAGTATACTACGTTTCGGCCTTGCTGAAGGGTCTTCATCGGGTAGTTTAAGCACTGCATAATAGAATAAATTAAAAGGAAAATATTTCCAAAGAGAAAAATTCCTGGGTGTTTCCACCAGCTTCCTCCCACCATTTACAGAAAAGTTTTCAAATCCCGTTTTATTGGTTTCATCTTGTAGAGATTTTTGCGCTGATCATTTTTT